ACTCACTATATAGCCCAGGCTGGCCTTGAATGCACAATCCTCTGTCTCAGCCTCCTGAATGCTGGGATTACATTCATGAGCTACAGAATCAGGCTAATACTAATCTTTTTGCAATGGGTTTATTTCACTGAGTGTAATGATCTGGAGATTCATCTGTATCACAGCACATGCTGCTCCTTTCCTGTCTTTGCTGAGTAATATTCTGCATATGTATACACCACTTACCCACTCACCTGTCTATGGACAGTATGCTGGTTTGTGCTTTTTGGCTGTTGTGAATATTGCTCCTATTGGGCAAGCTGTACAAAGACTTCTGAGATCTTCCTTCCTTCCTTCCTTCCTTCCTTCCTTCCTTTCTTTCTTTCTTTCTTTCTTTCTTTCTTTCTTGTATCCAGAGGATACAAGATCATACATTATTCTAGGTTTATATTAGTTTATTTATGTATTTTTCTATGTGCATGTGTGTGAACATTCCAAGGCATACATGTAGAGGTCATAGGACTTATGGGAGTTGATGTCTCCTTCTACCTTGTGGGTCCTAGGAATAAAACTCAAGTCATGAGACTTGATGTCACATGACTTTACCCATGGAACCATCTTCGTGTGTGTGTGTGTGTGTGTGTGTGTGTGTGTGTGTGTGTGTGTAAGAAGATAGGCTCTCATGAAAGCTCAGACTAGACTTAAGCTCATGGTGTAGCTGATGATGGTCTTGAATTCCTGTTTCCTCTGCTTCTACCCTTTAAGTGCTGAAAAGTGCAGGCACTACCACACATGGTCTCCTGTTTCTTTTTTTAAGAAGTGTACTTATTTTTATGTACATTGATGTTTTGTACATGGGTTTTGGGTCCCTTGAGCTACTATGTAGGTGCTGAGAGTTGAACCAGGGTCCTCTGGAAGAGCAGTCAGCGCTCTTAACTACTGAGCCATCTCTCTAGCCCCTCCTGTTTAGATCTGGCAGGGACACTTAAAGTGCTTTGCAAAGTGTTTGAACTGTTTGCATTCTTCTCAGTGGTGCACACAGGTTCCAGTTTCTACACTTTCTCACTAAGCCTTATTTTAAATTTTAAAAAAAATTTTTGCAATGCTAGGACTGAAACTGAGGGCTTCAGGCATGCTGAGCCCTCAGTTCTGCCCCTGAGTCATGTCTTAGCCCCTCACTGGGGGATTCTAGGCAGGTGCTCTACAGCTGATACATGCCTCTGGCACTCATCACTTCTTTGAATTGGAGGAACTGAGCTGAGATTCAACTTACTGGTCTGGAAAATGGATAGTGTCATGACCTACTCCAGGGAAGCAGTGTGAGATTCCTTGAGATGAAGGCATCACATCCCTGAGGTGTGGGTGCTATGCATTGGGAGCACCATGTCCCTGCTCACTCTCTCATGTCACTGCTTTACTTCTTTCAGGAGCCGACCCTAAATCAAGGATCTGGGTCCCAGTAACTGGGCTGACAAGCGATTTCAGCAAATCCCAGTAAAGAAAGAAGGAAGTCAAGAGAATTGGAAGCAGGTACCCAAAGGAATACATATAGATGCATGCTCAGAGTAGCACAGTTCCCCATTCCCAGAGATGGAAACAGTCCAAATATCCATCAAGAATGAGTGGCTAAGCCAGGCGATGGTGGTGCATGCCTTTAATCCCTTCCCTGTCTTACTTTCCCTCTTCTTTTTCCAATTAAAATGAAGGTTTGAATAATATACAAGATCATTTTTCTTAATTTTAGTATATTTAAGTGTTTAATTGTATGTAGGCAGATCTCTGTGAGTTCAAGGTCAGCCTGGTCTACAAAGTGAGTTCCAGGACAGCCAGGGCTACAGAGAGAAACCTTGTCTCTAAATACCATAAAAACAAAACACCAAAAACCAGAGAGAGAGAGAAAGAAAGAGAGAGAGAGAGATATATATGAGTGGCTGAACCAAAGTGTGGCATGTTCAGATAATTACTGGGCAGTACAAAGATCACAGCCATGATCCTTGCTAATGTGGCTAAACTTGGAACAAGCAGAGGGAATGAGCCAGGCAAGAATGGCGCCATTTCTATGAAAGAGAAGAAAGCCCATAGAAACACGGAAGGTCAGGCACTGAGCACACTGGGTGTGGTAGCCCACCAGGTCATCCTGGAACTGCGGAGTGGTGCCCTGCACGAGGGCCAGATCCAGCTTCATCTACAAAACAAGTTTGAGGTTAGCCTGCACTCCATGAGGCTATGTCTGTATCAAATTTTTTTTTTTAATTGAAAAGAGAAAAGCAGGGAGGGAGGGAAGAAGAGAGGGCAGTAGATGCCAAGACTTGTACAGAACAAAGAACAGGGACACTGGGTATTGTATTGGTAAAAGTGTTCTAGATAGAAGCAATGGTTGCACGATGTTGTCAAAGTGCTAAATGGCAGTAAATCTTTTACTTCCTCATTAATTTCATAATCGTTATTAATTATTTTTGTGACAAGATCTACTCTGAGGCAGTTCTGGCTCAGAACATACTCTGTAGGTCAGACTGGCCTCAGCCTGTGTCTCTCAGGTGCTGAGATTTCAGGCACACACCAGCACACTTGGCTTCCAGACCCCTTTGTTTCCTTTTTATTTCTGGACAGAGTCTCACTACATTGTATGTGCATGTGTGGACATATGTGTGTATGCACAGTACATAGGTATACCCAAGGAAGCTGGAAGAGGGTGTCAGATCTTCTGGAGCTGGATTTACAAGTGGTTGTGAGCTGCCTGAGGTGGTATGCTGTGAACAAAACTCGGGTCTTCTAGAGGAACATAAAGTGTTCTTAACCACTGAGCCATCTTGTCCACCTCCACACCCTTTTCCTGTTTTTCTGAGACAGGGTTTCTCTGTGTAGCCCTGGCTGTCCTGGAACTTGCTCTGAGGACCAGGCTGGCCTGGAATTCACAGAGATCCTCTTGTCTCTGCCTCCTGAGTGCTGGCACTCACTAAAAACGTACACCACCATGACCAGGCTGCATTTTTTTTTTTTTTTTTTTTTTTTTTTTTGCTGTTGTTTTTGTATTTTTCCAGACAGGGGTTCTCTGTAGCTTTGGAGGTTGGAGGCTGTCCTGGAACTCACTCTGTAGACCAGGCTGGCCTCGAACTCACAGAGATCTGCCTGCCATCTTTTTTTTTTTTCCCTTGTTTTTTGTTTTTTTAGACAGGGCTTTTTTCTTGTAGCTTTGGAGACTGTCCTGGAACTAGCTCTGTAGACCAGGCTGGTCTTGAACTCACAGAGATCCACCTGCCTCTGCCTCCCAAGTGCTGGAATTAAAGACATTCACCACCACTGTTCAGCTGTTTTTAACCCTCTTGTCTCAATCTTCTGAGTATCAGAATCGTGGGCTTTGCCCTCTGGCCCAAATGTCTTCTCAGACTCTAAGTGGTCACTATTATATCTCAATGGACTTGAAAAAACTGTATTCCTGTATTAGAGAAAATTTATGTTTCCTTCCTGCCCACCTCTCTCATCTGAGAAAAATCTAGCTATCTAGCCAAGACTAACCTTACTGTCCTCCTGTCTCAGCTCCCTGAGTACTGGAAATATAAACATGTGCCTCCATGCTTGGCCTGCCGTTTACTTTTCTGTATTTGACTTATTTCCCTTGCCCTACATGGTTGCACAAAATGGCAGTTCCAGTCACTCAGGAGGCTGAAGCAGAACATACCAGGGATTAAAGGTCAGCCTGGCCTATGACATAACAAGACACCATTTCAACTGATCAGTGAATGAAAGAAGGTCGAGTGACTTACTTTACTTAACATCATGACTTCCAGTACTTTTTTGGCCAAAAATAACAGGCTACATTTTTTTTTGTGGCCAAATAATATTCTATTATATGAATTGCTCATTTAAAAATGGCATCTTAGGGTCTAGGACGATGCCTTGGTTGTTAAGAGTACTGTTCTTACAGAGGGAGATCTGTTCCCAGCATACATGTTAATAGTTCACACTGCCCACAGTTCCAGTCCAGGGGGATTCATTGCTTCTGGCTTCCGAAGACAACTGCACATGAGTGCACATATCCACACAGATGCATGCACACAATTAAACACGTAAATATACCAAAATTAAGAAAAGTGATGTTGTATATTATTCGAATCATCACTTTAATTGAAAAAAGAAAGAAGAAAAAGAAGAGGGAAAGTAAGACAGGGAAGGGAGAAAGCCAGCCAGGAAAGTTCTTGCTTTGGGCTGCTGGAGTTAATCATGCTGGAAAACCCTGCAGAGAATACAGGGTGTTATTACACACACACACACACACACACACACACACACACACACACAGAGAGAGAGAGAGAGAGAGAGAGAGAGAGAGAGAGAGAGCACAAGAGAGTACTGGAGTGTTAATTTCCCAAGATACTAGGGCCTTTGGCTGAGGGCGTGTGTGTGTGTGTGTGTGTGTGTGTGTGTGTGTGTGTGTGTGTGTGTGTGTGTTGTTCCCCAGGTCTCTGATTATTTGTGCCCAAGCAGAGAAAGCTTATGATAGGAGGATCAAGAGGGTGTCTTGGGGCTGGGAACATGTAAGGAGGTTAGACCACATGTTGGTATAGTATCTCCATCTAGTACTGCAACAAACAAACAAACAAACAAACAAAAATGTCAACAAACAAAAATTAAATACATAGAAAAGAGAAGAAAAGAAGGGTGGTGGTGGGAGGAAGGGGTGGAGAGATGGCTCAGCAGTTAGAAGCAATTGCTTCTCTTCCAGAGGACTTGCGTTTGAGGCCCCCATCACCCTTTGCAGGTTGCTTATAACTCTTTGGAACTCCAAACCCTTTTCTAGCACCCATAGGCTCTGCACTCGCAAACGCAACCCCGTCATCCTTGATATATACATACTTAAAAATAAGCCCTTTTTAAAAGTTGTTTTTGCCTTTTAAAGAAAGGTGTTTGTGCTGGCAAAATGAAGGTCGTGGGTGAGTCCAGAGAGACACTCCTGTGTGTGGCACAGGCCAGCTGCAGCCTGGTCCCTCCCCTCCTGCGCTGATTGGTCTCCTCATGTCTCCTAGGATGCTGCCCATCACCGACTATCTGTTGCATCTGCTGGGGCTGGAGAAGACAGCATTTCGAGTGTATGCTGTGTCAGCTCTGTTGCTATCCCTCCTTTTCTTCCTCTTCCGCCTGCTACTGCAGGTATTCAAATTGTGCTGGGACTTCCGCACCACTTGTCGCAGACTGAGCTGCTTCCCAGAGCCTCCTGGCCGTCACTGGCTGCTGGGCCACGTGAGCATGGTGAGTGTGCACGGGCAGAGCTGAGCGGGCTGAGGTTAGAAGCAGATTCACTGGAGTAGGAGATGAAACCTCTGAGAGGGCAAGCAGTTTGTCCAGGGTCACACTGTTGGGAGGAGACAGAGCACACTATATAAAGTTAAGTTCCCACCCCTGCTGGCTAGCTTTCCTAGTATTGGAAGCTGTGATGCAGGCTACTAGGGGCTGGACTGTGACATCAGTGGTCTTATTTAGAGCTAAATGTTACAATAAAGACCTGCCAGGCGATATGTACCCACCGGTAAAGTAGTGACAGTGCAGTAACTTTAAAGAAAATTACCCATGCCTGGAACAAAATGATGATGATGATAAAAAGTTCTTTCTATAGTTCTGTAGCTACCAATGTAGCAGGGAGGTACTGATGACCATAAAATTTGGGGTTGGGGCCCAGAGTAGGGGCAAAGAGGAGGCTCCTGTTGGGAACCAGCAGTCTGCTGACCCCGCCCCCGACGATGGGCAGGGTGCTCATGGCCATGTCATCACTACCTGAGGCTTTACCTGGCTGCTCAAGCTTTACCTGGCTGCCAGGGGACTCAGTTTTGCATGCGCAAGTCCCCCCTTTTTAAAGCAAGTGCGTCAAGCACATACCTCTCTTTTGCTCTCTCTCTCTCTTGCCTTCTCTCGTTGATCTTCTCTCTCTCTTTGCTCTTTTTCTCTTTCTTCTCTCTCTCTCTTTCCCCTACTTTCGGTTGGCTACCCCCTTTCTCTCCCCTCTCTCAATAAACTCCACGTCGTAGGCAATAGCTGCAGCAAAAGAACAAGAGCTTCTGGAGATTTTGTTTTTCTAACCTTACATGTTAGGGTGATTCTACTTTTGTTCTTTTACTTGTTTTTTTTTTTTTTTTTTTTGATACTCTCTATATAACCCTGGCTTCTTAAAATTTGCTATGTAGACCAGGCAGGCCTCTGCCTTTCAAGTGCTGGGATTAAAGATGTACACCACCATGCATCCCTAGTTACTCTCATTATTGGAATGACATGGTACTACACTGGGATCCTTACTCTTTCTTTGCATTTGGTATTTTTCACAACATCTTGTCATGTAGGCTATGCTAGCCTCAACCTCATAACCCTTCTGCTTCAGCCTCCTGAGTGCTGGGATTATAGGTGTATGTTAGCATGCCTAAGTCAACTATTTTTGTTTTTAATTTTTACTTTGAGCCATAGTCTCACTCTGCAGCTCAGCCTGGCCTGGAATTCATATGTAGCTAAGTCTAGCCTCAAACTCACAGCAAATCCTCTTGCCTCAGCCTCATGAGTGTTGAGATTACAGTTATGAACGATCATACTTGAGACACTCTCTTTAAAAGATGGGGAATTAAAGATGAGTTGAGAGACCCAACTTAGGGATGAGCACACACACACCACACACACACACACACACACACACACACACACACACACAGCATTCAACACATAAAGATTTGTTTGCATGGTGATACAAACCTCTGGGCCCAGTTACTCAGCCTGATTGACAAGGATCATGTGAACACAAAAGTTCATCTTTCGTGTTCTTGAAATTGGCATCTTCTAGCTTTCCTGAGAAATTCTGGATTCCAATCATTCCACCCCTTTCCTGCTCACACATCACCATGGCTTCCCATTACCATCTGGAGAAAGGCTAGGGTGCAAAGCCTTCTGGACTAGGAGGCCCAGTCTCCTGACTTGTCCTGTCATGCCCCTGCAGGCTCCAGAACTGACCTCCCCTTTTCTGAAGCTGGCCTTTTGTCAACCTCTCTGGTCCTTTGTCAAATTGTGTCCTCTGTCCAAATATCTTTTTCTTCTAGATGAAATTTCATGCTCATCTCCAAGCACACATCAGATGGAAGTTTCTGTCCAGCCTGGCACCACAGTTGTTTAGTCCCTAATAAACACATAGAGGCTTATATTAATTATAAACTGTTTGGCCCATTGCTCAGGCTTATTACTAACAAGCTCTTACAACTTAAATTAACCCATAATTCTTATGCATGTTTAGCCATGTGGCTTGGTACCTTTTCTCAGTAAGGCATCCTCCTCTTGTTTCCTCTGAGTCTGGCTGGTGACGGTGTCTGCCTTCCCTTTTCCCAGAGTTCTCCTACTCTGGTAGTCTCACCTGTACTACTGGCCCATCAGCGTTTTATTAAACAAATGCAAGTGACAAATCTACAGTGTACAAGAGCATCGTCCCACATTAATCCCTCTCTGCTTTTAGGCTTCATTTGTCTTTCCTGAGAAAAGGGTCTCAGTGTGTAACCCAGGCTACTACAGCTATGATTATCTTCCTGAGTGCTGGAATTGCAGGCCCAGCTTGCTCTCTCTGTCTCTCTCTGTTGTCCCCCTCTCTCCCCCCTACCCCAAGGTAACTCATATAGCACAATGTGGTCTCAAACCTATTGTGTAGCTAAAGATGATATTGCATTTTTGTTCCTCTTGCCATCTACCCGTTGAGTGCTGAAATAGCAGACGTTTGCCACTATAAGTGGTTTAATAGGATTTCTCCTTCTTCTCCTCCTCTTCCTTCTTTACTAACATTGCATTCCACTTTACTTTTCTGTGACTATGATAAAAAAAAAAAAAAAAAAAAAAAAAAAACAACTCTGACCCAAAGCAACTTAGAGGAGGAAAGAATTTATTTGACTTACATTTCCAAGTCACAGTCTATCATTGGGGTAAGTCAGGACAGGAGATGAAGCAGAAACCATGGGGGTGCACTGCTTACTGGCTTTGGGAGCTTTCTTATACAACTTAGGATCATCTGCCCACAGGAGGCACTGACCACAGTGGGCTGGACCCTCCTACATCAATTACCAATAAAAATAATTCCCCACACACATAGTTATAGGTCAGTCAGATCTGGGCAATCACTTAGTTCTTCTCAGTTGTTCCAGTGACAAAAATGAAACAGGACATATATCAAATTCTTGATAAATGCCAACTCCTATTCCCCCTCCTTCACCCCCATTTCCCTGTGCCCCCAGCGCCTGCACTGTGATGCTTTTGGAATCCGTATTCTCATGAAGACTAGGCAAGTGTTCTACTCCTAAGCCACACCCCCTGCCCCTCACTAAGGAATTCTAGGCAGGGGCTCTACTCCTAAGCCACACCTCCAGCCCTATTGTTCTTCCTATTTTTAGATGAGGGAGAACTCAGAGAAGGGCAGCAAGAGACCTCATCTTCAGTGTTCTGCAGGAGGCAGGCAGTAGTGGGAGGGAGTAGGAACATAATAAGCTGAGTTGTCATGCCTTTGTTGCCCCTTTCTATCTACCATAGTATCTTCCTAATGAGAAGGGCCTTCAAAATGAGAAGAAAGTGCTGGACACCATGCACCACACCATCCTGGCATGGGTTGGACCTTTCCTGCCTCTCTTGGTGCTTGTACATCCTGATTACATCAAGCCTGTGTTGGGTGCCTCAGGTAGGCAGGTTGGGCCTCAGAGGGAGGAGTGAACTTCCAACTCCCAGAACCCTCCTGGGGTTATAGACATGAGGGTGCTACAGAGGAAGGGTTACTTGAGTAGGGACTTGAGGGATGAAGAGAAGTTCACCAAAGAGGGCCAGGCAGAATGCAGTCTGTGGGAACAGCATGGGCAAAAAGTGTGGCAGTGTGTAAGAGTCTCAGGGACTTTGCAAGGCTGTGGTCCTGTGGGAAGTCACATCCAAGCAATTTGCTCATCCAGGTTTGGGTAAGTAAGTATTGCTCTATACTAGGCCATGGCACTGACTTCATTAAGATGGTGATCTGCCCAGCAAGACCAAGCACTTAAGCTCCCGGCTGGCAGGGAGGCAGATACTGTCCCTACTTATCCCAAGGATGCTTGATGAGTTTTCACTCATTCTCAATTCCCAGTTCTAAGGGATGTTCTTCCAGGAAGTCCTTCCCAAATCCTCCCAAATCCTCCAAATGTGCCTTTTCAGTTTTAACCCTTCAGGATGAGCCACGCTGCCAGCTCTTATTACCCTTGGCTGGTTATCTTCATAGCCACAAGGGGACTGGTTTGGTATTTGGGGACAGGTTCTCTCTATGTAGCTCAGGTTGGCTCACACCAATGATCCTTTCAGGTGTGTGCCACCACTCTGCTCTTGTACCTTAAAAAAAAAGTTTATTATCACATTTTAGTGTGTGTGTGCGTGCGTGCGTGTGTGCGTGCGTGCGTGCGTGTGTGTGTGTGTGTGTGTGTGTGTGTGTGTGAATATATGCATACAATTGTGGGAGTCAGTTTTCTCCTCCCACCACGTGAGTCCAGAGGGTGGAGCTGAGAGCCCCAGGCTCAGCAGCAAGCACCTTTACCCTTTGAGCCACCTCACCTTTGTTTCCTTTCTCTCTTCCATTGCCTTTCCTCCTCTTTCTCGTTCCCTCCCTCTCCGATCCTTCTCTTCCTCTTCCTCCCATTGTGTGGTTCCTGGGCTGGTCTGAATTCTCCAGAGACTCAGCTGTTCTCAGGCACTTGGCAAACAGGCCTGATTCCCTCCTGGTCCTCCCCCTTCAGGTCAGTCTCCCTGGCTGCCCCACTGGAGGAGCAGGATGGAGAGCCAAGAGGAACTGACTGGAGCTGAGTCAGCCTGGAGGGAAATGTGGGACCCCTGGAGCTTTCAGCCCCTCCCTGTGGGTGCCCACCTATCACTGCAACTGTTGCCCAGGCTGGGCCCCTTTCCTCTGTGCTGTGTTCTTTCCTTACTGAGGCAGAACTGGCCCAGAGCACAGGGCATTATTTTTAGATGAGCCATCAGTGATGATTTGCAGTGTGTTTGCAAGGTTGTGCAATGAATCTCTCTCTCTCTAGTTTCAAAGGTTTTCATCATTCCCACAAGTAGCTTGCACCCGAGGCGGTCTTGCCTCTGGTTCCTCCCTGTGACCCTCCTGGCTCCCAGAACCTGTTTTCTTCTAGACGAACTTGCTGCTTCCAGACCTTGTCTTCCTGGTCCATCCACACGGCTGAACACATTGACCCTGTGCTCCTTTTAGGATTCATTGTATAGATGGATCAAAGTTTGCTTGTTCACCTACCCACTGGCTGTTGTGAACAGTGCTATGGTGAACATTCACGCACAGGTTTGAGCTCTCACAGTCCCCCTCCTCCTGCTTGTTATCCCTTTATTCATTCCTTCCTCTTTTTTTCCCTAATAAGATTGTGTGTGTGTATGTGTATGTGTGTGTAGGTCAGAGGACAATTTGTGAAAACCAATTCTCCTTCTATTAGGTAGATCCCAGGGATAAAACTCAGGCTGTTTGCCCTGTGTGGCAGGTGCTTTTAGCCACTGCATCATCTTGCTGGCCCTCTTCTATTTTCTCCCCCCAATACTGAGTATGGAACTCAGGACCATGACCATGGTAGGCAAACACTCTGCTACTGAACCCGGTCTCCCTAGTCCTACATTTGACTTTTTAAAATGGTTTTATTATTTTTATTTGTGTATGTATTCTTATGTGTATGAGTGTGGGGCTTGGAAGCAAGCATCTTTGGGGTCCAGGGTCTCTTGTTCATTGCTGTTGGCAGGTGCCTTCACCAGTCCCCCACCTCCCATCTCACTGTAGGGGTACTACACTGTCTGGTCTTAAATGGCTCCAGGAAGTCTGAAGCCTGGTCCTCACCTGTGGGGCAAGTGTCTTACCTACTGAACCATACTTGCCAGCCCTATATTTTACTCTCTAAGGAATTCTCTTGATATTTTCCACAGTGGCTGTGTATTAATTGTTCACTAACAGGCTTCCTAAGTATTCAGTTCACAAGTGTTTGCTGCCAATAAGTGATAACTGTAATTTGAGTAACGAATCAGCCAATAGGTGGCTCATGAATTATTGACACGTGCTGATTTAGGAACCACAAGCCATATACCAGGTTGGAAGGGCAATGATATGGCTCGGCTGGCAAAGGTGCTTGCTGCCAAACCTGATGATCTGAGCTTGATCCCCAGAACTCTTGGTGGAAGGAGAGAACCTACTCCTGCAAGTTGTCCTCACCTCCACCTGCACACCTTGCTTGGCAGGCACACACATACACATACTTAAATACAGAAATGTAATTTTTTTAAAGAAGGAAAATGAGATGGAGACTCAGAGTGGTGACCTGTCTGGGTTTACATAACAAGTAGCCGCAGGGCCGAAGTCTGAGCTCAGGTCTAGCTGTTGAGCACAGTTTTGTGCATAAGAGCTTCTCTGAGCTGCACACCATGTAGTAGGGGCCTTTCTGAAGCACTTTCCTTTGAAATGGCATTACCAGCCTGCTAGAGGCAGTCTCCCTTCCTAGCATGAGCATCATGGAAGGACAGTGATAGAGCTGAGGAGGAGGCAGAGGTTGGGAGAACAAAGTGCCCCCCCCACTACCCGGAAGAGAGCTTCTTGCAAAAAAGGGTCAATAGAGCCAGGCTTTGAAGGATGTGTAGGAGTTAGTCAGGTGTAGAGGCCATGACAGAGAGGCTTGTCAGTCCAGAGGTACAGAAGTGGAAAGATGCTGGGGGAATTCAGGCACTCTGGGTGGATGGAGTAGAGGGGATGTGCATGTGGGAGCAGGAAATGAGAATGAGTGTTAAGAGGAAGCTGGACCAAGAAGCAAATGGGTTTGTACCTTATCCTGGGGTGCTAGGGCCAATGGCCGGTGTCTGAGCCAGGCAGCAATTGACCAGATCTGGCTGTCAGTAAGACTCCTGGCTAGTTTAGAACGGATTCCAAAGCCAAGAAAAGAGAGGTGTCTGTTTTGCTTCCAGTCACTGGTAGCCACATTGTGCCTGTGAACCTGTAACCACGCCCAAAGAAGAGGAACTTATAGAAATCATACAGCCTTTACAGACTGGTAATGAAACCTTAGTAGAAAGGATTCAGACCATTGAAAACGGCAATGATTCGACAAACAGAATGCAAAAAATGGAACACAATATCAACTGCTAACAGAAAAAATTTGTTCCATGTCTGATGATTTGACAAAAAGAATGGGACATAATAATGAACTCTTTACAGAAAAAAATTTGCTCCAAGAATGCAAATCCTGCCTCCCCTATGCTCTCTGCCACCCAAGGGGCATGTGTCCCCCCTGCTCCCCTCCCTTAAACAGGTCACATCCAAACCTGTAGCCACGCCCAAAGGGTGTGGCCACTGTTATAAGTTCACAGACAAGATGTGGCTACAGCCATTTCCGCTCAGAAGCCTCATTGGCCTTCCAGTAGCCCTTCCTCTGTGACTTTCTTAGCACCTGGCACACTCTCTGCAATTTTGATAATTGGCTGGTGTGGGCCTCTCCTTCCCTTTCCCACCCCACCCCGGAGCTCCTGCAGGCAGGGAGTGGAGCTGAGCCATCCTTGGATCACTAGCATCACCTTGCGTGGGTTGGACACAGAAAGGCAGCAGGAGTGTGCTGATGAAGGGTGACTGTGCACGCAGTTTGTCAGTGCAGGGAAGAGTGCTTGGTGGCTGAGTCACATTGGGCGTGTATATCCCTTCTTAGGTGCCTCTCCACTCACACCTTCCTATGGTGTATAGGTTTTTCCTTTTACTCTTTTGGGGCCCACCACCCAGCTCCCAAATAAGTATATGAAGACGTATTCTTACTTGTGAATGCCTGGCTTTAGCTTGGCTTGTTTCTAGTCAGCTTTTTTAACTTAAATTATCCCATTTCTCTTTAACTGTGTTTTGCCTCTGGACTTTTAACCTTTCTTTATTCTACATATCTTTCTTTCCTTTTCACTCCATGGCTGGTTATGTGACTGGGTGTCTGGATCTTGGCATCCTCTCCTTTTTTTTTTTTTTTAAACTCCTCCTTCTTTTCTCTCCTAGATTTCTCCCATTTATTCTCTCCCTGGCATCCTTGCCTGTTCCTCTCCTGCCTAGCGATTGGCCATCCAGCTCTTTATTAGACCAATCAGGTGTTTTAGTCAGGCAAAGTAACACAGCTTTACAGAGTTAAACAAATGCAACATAAAAGAATGCAACATGTCTTTGTATCATTACACAAATATTCCACAGCACAAATGAATGTAATACATCTTAAACTAATATTCCATAACAGTGGTGTACCAGGAGGATGCATCCATTAATCTATCCATCCATCTTGCCAGCCACACATCTGTCAACATATTCATCTACTCATCTGTACATCCACTCACCTAATCACTCAATCATATATCCATGCATGCATACATGCGATTTTCCATGACCACCCACCCACCCACCCATCCATCCATCCATCCAACCATCCACCCACCCATTCACCTATTCACTCAATATCCATCTACCTACCATTCACTTATCTCTCACCCATCTACCCACCCCTCTTCCCATTTATCCACACATTTATCAATCTAGCCACTTACCCACACATTCTTCCACCCACCAACCCTACCCACCTAACCATCCATTCATCTTTCCTGACTTCCTTTGCCTTACTCTTTTAAAATTAAAAACCAAATGTGTATGTGTGTCTGTGTGTGCACATGCACAAACATGTGCACACACATGTATATGTACTTGTGTACTTATAGAACTTATATGAACCTGAGACTTGAAATTTTTCAGTTAGACTGGTGGCCTGTGAGCCTCAGAGATGCTGTCTTCCCTCTCCAGCACGGGGGTCACAGGTGCATGCAGCTATGCCTGACTCGTTTTCTTATAAGTACAATTTTTATTTATTTTTATTGTGTGGAGGGTGGGTGTGAGCCACAGTGAATGTGCTTGCAAGAGTCTGTTCTCTCCTTCAACCTAAGGGGTTCTGGGGATCTACCTTGGGTCTTTAGGCTTGGTGACAAGCACCTTTACCCACTGAAGGAAGCATCTCACTGGGCCCTGCCTGTTTTCCCTGGTCCTGAGGACCAATGCTCACTCCTCGTGCTTGCACAAGAGCTCTTACTCTCAGAGCCATTTTCCAGCTCCTATTTTTTCTCTCATCCATGTGCCCTTTGGTTCATTCATTCACTGAATTGGAAAGTTTTGTTTTGTTTTGTTTTGTTTTTGAGGCAGAGTCTCAGGTGTCTCAGGCTGGCTTTGAACTCACTATATAGCCCAAGATGATCCTGAACTTCTGAACTTCCTGCCTTCTCCTGGGATTGCAGGCACATTCCACCAAGCCTACCTCATTGCATTAACTTTGATTTATCTGGGTTTCCTCTGTTAGCAGTCTTTGCAACATCATCTACAAAGATCTGGGATTCACACCTGATATTCTGAACCTCAAAGTGCTGTATAGCACCTCCATCTTTGAAGGTGTTTGTGTGTGTGGGGCATGGTGTCCCATAGTGACATAGGATTCCTTCCTAGATCTCATTGCAAAGCTTATGATTTGCCTCTTCACAAAAATAGATGGTAGTATAACACCAGGCTTCTGTCCAAAACTATCAGTGGCATGAACTTCACCCTGGCATCTGGTTGTCACAGGGCATCCTGGAGTCTCTTCCTTTGAAGAACTGTTGTGGGTCCACCTCCTGGCCCCAAGACCTGCTTTGTTAGTGCCAGCTCAGCCAAAGCTGCCATGTCGGTTTTCCTGGAGCTTCTTGGTCATCATGGTAGCCAGATCCAGTCAGAAAACTTGGTGGATATGGGTTAAAAAAGGAAAAGGTGGCCTTCCTGATCCCCTAGCTTGTGACTTGAGCAATATCCAGCTTTCAGAGAGAGAGAGAGAGAGAGAGAGAGAGAGAGAGAGAGAGAGAGAGAGAGAGAGAGAGAGAGAGAGAATTGGTTTGGGGGGTCTGTGTACACACCTGTATGCAAGTGGAGGCATGAGGACAACCCCAGCTGTCATTCCTAAGGTGCCATCTTGCCCCCACCTCCCTCCCCCTCCCCCACCCCTCCCCTCCCCAGCTTGGAACGGAACTTGCCAAGACTGGCTGGCCAGTGAGCCTTACACATTCACTTCTCTTCATCCCCACATTGCTGGGATTATAAGTGCATCTTAAAAGTAAGTTTTCTTTGGTATGTGAGGAGGGGAGAGGAGACACTAAAGTGCCATAGCACTTGACGAGGTTAGAGAACAACCCGCAGGAGTTGGTTCTCTCCACCTTGTGGGACCTGAGATCGGAACGAAGGTGCTTAGGATTGACCATATGCACCTTCACCAACTGCTTCATCTCAGTGGCCCACTCATCATGTCATCAGCTTTGCTGTCGTTTAAATGTGGGTTCTGGTAACCAAACCCAGGATGTCTTGTTTGCAAGGCAAGCACTTTGCCAACTGGCTTTTGGTTTAATCAGAAAGAAACTCAACTATTATCACAAGTAGACTTCAAACTTCAGCTTCAGCATCTGAACTTTGGGGAACACAGGCATGCTCCCCAATAACCAGGGGCACCTGACATTGTTTAGAAGCAAAGAGGCTCTGTGCTGGTGGTCCTGTGTGTCGGAGTGACAAGGGCTGGAGGGTGGAGCAAAGTCTGGACCAGGGCTGATACCAATGGCTTTGAAAATGAGCCCTGTCAAGGTGCTGGAGGGGGACAGGTGGGTGTGTTGGCAGAGACTCTGTCAATGCCAACAGATTAGATCCCCTCCGGGCAGGCCAGCAAGACAGACAGGAAATTGAGGCTGGCTGTGGGGTTACAGCTATGATTCAGGCAGCTAGAGTTGATAACAGGAGTGGGGGAGCTAAGGGGTGTCATCCTTCCTATGGGAACGTGGCCTGGCTGTGAGTGACGGGTGTGCTGTGAGATTGTTGAAGGACTGAGTGTCAGAGACTGGATGCAGGGACTAGATGAGACACAGTCATCAGTGGGAGGGAGAGGGGCCCCATTTATTTATTTATTTAATACAAGGAAATCCAGGATTTAGGGCAAATGAGATGGCTCCTTGGGTAAAGGCAATTGTTAGCAAGCCTGGTAGACTGAATTTAACCTCTGTGACCCAGATGGAAGGGGAGTACTGACTCTTACAAGTTGTTATTTGACCTCCATACAAGTGCCAGGGCACATGTGAGCCTATACACAAACACATACATACATACATGCATGCATATTTTTCCTAAAGCTTGGGTTTCTTCTTTATACCTCACACACAGAGGCCAAGGTTTTGTTTTGTTTTTGTTTGTTTGTTTGTTTGTTTAAGAAAAGCTGTTATTACACAGCAACCAAGGTTGTCCTGGAACTCACTATGTATATAGCTGATGCTGTCCGCTGTCCTGAAATTTACAGTGATCTTCCCGATTTAGCATCTCAATTGCTGGGATTACAAACATGCCAAACTCCAAGCTCTTCTACAAGAGCAATGGGGAGCCATGGGAGGTGTTTGAGTGGGAGAGACTCAAGTTCAGATCAGCATGTTGTAAGATTTCTCAAGGGACAGATATAAAGGTGGGGTGAGATGGGAGGCAGGAGACCAGAGAAGAGGCCCAAGAAAGTCATAAACAGAGGTCAGAACTTGGCCTGGAATCACCATTGTCTGTCTCTTCTCTCTCCACAGCTGCCATTGCACCCAAGGATGAGTTTTTCTACAGCTTCCTGAAGCCTTGGTTAGGTGAGTGCTGAAGGGGAGGGTGGTGGTCCTCACTTCATAATAAGAGTACAGGAGACTCCAAGTAGTTAAAATAAACAAGTTTATTTTACAACTTTGCAAAGTTGGATGTTAGCATAGAGAAAAGGCAGAATGACTGTCCACCCCCTCAATTTGATCACAAACTAGTTTTTACCTTTCTTTTTAAAATTAATTTTTTAGTACATTGATGTTTCTTCTCCTGCATGCATGTCTGTATGAGGGTGTTGGATCCCCTGGAACAGGAGTTACAGACAGTTGTGAGCTGTCATGTGGGTGCTAGGAATTGAACCTGGGTCCTTTGGAAGAGCAGTCAGTGCTCTTAACCTCTGAGCTATCTCCCTGGTTTTTATCTGTCTAATGTTTCTCTCCCTTTGGATTTTTCATTGGCTATGATCTTTAGTGATGTACCATCATTCTGGAGTCCAGCCCAGATTCCCATCCCATTAATTCAGGACAAAAAGCCTCATCTGATGTGTAGCTTGGGGCTGGAGATTCCATCCGTTTCTGACACATGGGTTTAGACTTCCTATAACTTCCAATCTTAGGATGAACTCAGATTACATAATGCAGGCACCAGTGGTAGCTGGAGAAGATGGGGACTGCTGCTTCCTGCTTATCTGGGATTATCCAATGGGCTCTAAACACTCCTCATACTGAAAATGGAGCTGTAATGATTGTCTTTTACACAGGGGAATCAGGAGAGGGAAAGGGTTTCTTGGAGGGCTCCAGAGGGGGACAGGAGAGGCCTCTAGCCCTTGGTTTTCTTGGTTCAGGGGATGGACTTTTGCTCAGCAAAGGGAACAAGTGGAGTCGGCACCGCCGTCTGCTCACACCCGCCTTCCACTTTGACATCCTGAAGCCCTACATGAAGATCTTCAACCAGTGCACGGACATTATGCATGTGAGTGGTGGGAAAGAGGTTCGCCTCACCTGGGAAGGCCTCAAAGTAAAGGGGGCCCCATGTCCCTTGCTACATCTGAACTGGATTGGCATTGAGGGTCCTGCCTGTCCTGTCTGAGCAGCTCATGGCCTGTGGGCTTCATGCCTGGTTACCTTCTGTCTACCTTCCAGGCTAAATGGCGGCGGCATCTGGCAGAGGGCTCAGTGGCCTCCTTTGACATGTTCGAGCACATCAGTCTCCTGACCCTGGACAGCCTTCAGAAATGTGTGTTCAGTTACAACAGTGACTGCCAGGAGTGAGTGTGGCCCCAGGGTAGGTGGTGGGTGGGAGGAAAGAGGGACGCTCCCTGCTGTGATGCAAGGTGGGCCTTTTTTCTTCCTTGGATTTCCTGGGTGGCCCCAAGATGACACCACTTCTCCAAGCCTCAGATCTCGTATAGAGAGGATTAGAGGAGATTTTGGCTGGGTGTGGTAGTCCACACCTGTGGTCTGTAATCCCAGCATTTGAGAGGTTGAGGCAAGAGGATCTTGAGTTTGAATTTAGCCTGGACAGCTTAGTAAAACCCTGTTTCAAAAATGCCACAGCACATGGTGGCACACACTTATAATCTCAGCACTCTGGAGGCAGGGGCAGGTGGATCACCCTGAGTCAAGGCCAACTTGCTTGGTGAGTTCTAGGATAGCCTGGGCTACATATTGAGAACCTGTCTAAAAAGCAAGCAAGCAAAGAAAGAAAAACGCCACATAAATTCCTAAGTAAGTAAAACGATGTCAGCCAGTGTCCTGGCAATTAGGGGATGCCTAGGAAATAGTACTTTCCCCCATTCCTCCACAGAGAGGGTACAGCCTAGAAACGCCCAGCTCACTCTTTTTTTAGTTCCTACTCTCCTCCCTCTTTTATCTTGTCCTTCTTATTCCTTTTCTTCCTGCTTATTGCATCACATCCCCTTTTTTCTTCATCTCCTTCCTGTATTGTTGTTTTTCTTTATCCCTATCCTCCCTCATTTTTCTTCCTTATCTCCACTTTCTTTTCCTCCTTTAAACATATATATGAAAAGCTTAGTTTATCTTTAAATGTTATGCCCATGTGTCTGCACATATGTATGTGCACAGGAGCACAGGTGCCCTTAGAACCTGAAAGTGTCAGATGTCCTGGAACTGGAGTTACGGCAAGCTGTGAATTGTCCATCATGGGGCTGGGAATCAAACTTGATTCTTCTGGGAGAGTAGTATGTGCTCTTAACTGCTGGGTCATGACTCCATCCCATCCTACATGCTTTCACACTGTACCCAGGGTGGTCTCTAGATCCTCCCTCATTCCAGCTCCTCAGTGTTGGGATTACAGGAGGGAGCCACCACCCCCAGTCCTTTGCTACACAAAGATGAAAATATCTGACTTTGGGAGATACTCTAAGGATAAGATAATGTGGCAGCTTCCCTGGCATGTAAAAAGTATCCAGTGAATATGTGTTGACTGAATTAATAAAATAACAACCACTCAGTTCATTCATTACCCATTATCATTATGGGGCTGGTTGTGCAGCTTTACAGTGAGTGCCTCTCATGTAGGAGGCCCTCTGTCCCATCACTAGTCATGTGCAATAAAATAAATAAGCCAGGTACAGGGCTTAAGAGATGATCCAATGGTTACAAGCACAGAGGCAGAGGACCAGGATTTGGTTCTAAGCACAAATTGATGGGCAGATAACAAACCACCTATAGCTCTAGTTCTGGGGGGAATCTGGTGCCCTCTTCTGGCCTCTTAGGAAACCTGCATGCATGTGGTGAACACACACAGGCACTCAGATCTCCACACATAGACAGAATTAAAAATAAAAACATGGGCTGGAGAGATGGCTCAGTAAGCACTGGATACTATTGCATGGGATCCAGGTTTGATTCCTAGTACCTATCTGGCAGTTCACCACCATCTATAACTCTAGTTCCAGGGCATCCAATACCCTCTTCTGACTTCTGAAGACAACAGGGATACAAGTAGTACACAGATGTGCAAGAAAAACACTTATACATGTAAAATAAAATAAAAGAATAATAAAACAAAACCCTTAAAATAAAATAATTCATGTGCATGCTTATAATCCAAACAGATGGTGAGAAAAGGCAGGAAAATTAGAAGTTCAAGGTCATTGTTTGCTATGTAGTGAGTTCAAGTCTATCCTGGGTGACGAGAGACCCTGTCTCAAAAACATGAAATGGCTGTCAAGATAGCTCAGTTGGTAAAGGGCTTGCCTAGCATATGCAAAGCCTTGCAGTCTGTCTCCAGCCACACACACACACACACACACACACACACACACACACACACACACACACACACACACACAGAGAGAGAGAGGGGGGGAGGAAGGAAGAGAGAGAGAGAAACAGAGGGAGGAACACGGGGAAAGAATACAGGGGTTGGGGAGATGGCCCAGCTATTAAGAGCACTTTTGCTGCTTTTGGAGAGCTTGGCATCCAGTTTCAAATACTCATGTGGCAGCTAACAATCATCTGTAACTCCAGCCCCAGTGGATTAGACTCCCTTTTGGTTCCTTCAGACACTGCATACAGCTGGTGCACGGACATACACGATGGCAAACATTCATACACATAAAATAAATATAATTTAAAAAAAAATAACAAAATGCGGTTAATACAGGGCCTCTGTCTGTCATTGTACAATAGAGGCTGGGTCCCATGCATGTGTCTGGGCCGAATGGGTGGCTCATTGCCCTTCTTTCTGTAGGAAAATGAGCGATTACATCTCATCTATCATCGAACTGAGCTCTCTGGTGGTGCGACGCCAGTACCGCCTTCATCACTACCTGGATTTCATCTACTACCTCACTGCCGATGGACGGCGCTTCCGCCAGGCCTGCGACACCGTGCACAAGTTCACCACTGAAGTCATCCAGGAGCGGCGGCGGGCACTGCGCCAGCAGGGTGCTGAGGCATGGCTAAAGGCTAAGCAAGGCAAAACCTTGGACTTCATAGATGTGCTGCTGCTGGCCAAGGTAAGGCTGTGTGGAAGCAGGCTTCTGTCCTTAGAGGCCAGCATGGGAATTGCAGATGCTCAAACTCATGGGGAAGGAGTCAGGTGCAGGAGGTGCATAATGTGGGTGGGTTCATTCAGAAGCCACAACAGAGTACTTCAGTCCTTTTAATTTAAATGAGCACCATTATAGTCTAGTGTGTGGTTTGCCCTGTGGAACACGCCTGTATACTTAAAGGCTATGAGCCTGGCTCGGACAGCTGATGTAAACACAATAAGATCTGTACAGGACACAGCATCTTTCTTTTGAAACAAAAAAAAAAAAAAATAATAATTATAGTCATTGGCCAGGCATGTGGCACACACCTTTAATATCAGCACTCAGGAAGCAGAAGCAGGTAGATTGTTTGAGGCCAGCAAGATCCAGGACAGCCAGGACTACATACTAAGATTCTGTTTCCAAAAACAGTTACAATGATTTATTTGTGTGTAGGTGCACATGCATGTTATGGAGATTTTGTGAAGGTCAGAATACAACTTGTGGGAGTTGGTTTTCTCCTTCAAGCATGTGGGTCTGGCCCCAGGAATCAAACTCAAGCCCATCAGGCTTGGTGTCTAAGTGTTTTCACTTACTGAGCCATCTTGTCAGCTTAACCTACTCATCCCTGACCCCTTCTCTCTCTTTCTAATTCCCAGGTTGGTCTCAAACTTACAATCTATACTCCTCTCTCTCAGCCTCCTGTGTGGTGAGATTACAGGTGTATGCCACCATGCCCAGCTATTCTGTTACCTACAGGTGACTTAAAGGATACAAGAGGATGATTATAGGTTCTGGGCAAATACTTTTCTTTTTGTAGATGGAAGTTTCTGCACTGCCCAGTCATGCAGTGGTTCAAATAAACACACAGAAGCTTATATTAATTATAAGCTGTTTGGCAGATAGCTCAGGCTTATTACTAACAAGCTCTTACAACTTAAATTAACCCGTAATTCTTATCTATGTTTAGCCACATGGCTTGGTATCTTCTTTCAGTAAGGCATTCTCATCTTGCTTCCTCTGCATCTGGCTGGCAAGTGCCTCTCTGCCTCTCTTCTCAGAATCCTCCTAGTCTGGTAGACCCACTTATACTGCCTGCCTGGCTACTGGCCAATCAGTGTTTTATTAAACCAACATGAGTGACAAATCTTTATAGTGCACAAAACATTATCCCAATTCATATTTTTAATTATGTGTCTATGTGTGGGTATGTGCACACAAGTGCTAATAGCCATGATGATCAGAAGAGGGCATTGGGTACCCTGGAGGTACAGGGAAGCTGCCTGACATAGGTGCTGGGAACTGAAATAGGATCCTCTGGAAGAGCAGCGAGTGCTGGTAACACACAGCAAACTTCCAGCTGAAGCAGTCTTATTTTTATTATTGTTGGAGTATTGAGAATTGAATCCAGGGCATGAAGAATACCAGGCAAATGCCCTGTCATTCAGTTTTGGCTCTTCCTTCTGTGGATTTGAGTGTATGGTATGGATGTAAGTGTGTGGGTGTGGGTGCCATACATGCACATTTGGATGTAGCAGCCAGAGCAGGAAATGTGGTATCGACCTCTGTTGCTTTCTGACTTACTGCCTTGAGACATTGTCTTTCATGGGACTGGAATCTTGCCATTACATCTAGTATGGTTGTTCAGCCAGCAATAGAGATCTGCTTGTTTGTTTCCAGTGCACACAAAGCCATAGATTTTTTTTAAAGATTTAATTATGTGTTATGAATTTTTTTCTTGCAGCCGTTTCTCCCCAAATAAACACACAGACACTATATTAGTTATAAAGCTGTTGGCTTCTGTTTCTTATGGGCTAGCTCTGTTTTAATTATTAACCCAATTTTATCAATCCACTCATTTCCACATCTTATCTTACTGGGGAATGCTGGACCTGCAACTCCTTTGCCTGCTACATGATGACTACTCAGTGTCTCTGCAGAGAAGGATTTCCTGTTTGCCCTTGCATGTATTCTGATTCTGCCTAGCTATGTCACTTCCTGTCTGGCCAATCAGCCAATAGTGTTCTATTCATTAACCAATAATAGAAACAAATATACAGAAGAACATTCCCCATCAATTATGTATACAGTGTTCTGGCATGTAGATGGTTGTGAGCTACCATGTCATTGCTGGGAATTGAACTCAGAACCTCTGGAAGAGAAGCCAGTGATCTTAACTGCCGAGCCATCTCTCCAGCACAGCCCTTTTTAAAACAAAACAAAACAAAGCAAAAAAAAAAAAAAAAAAAAAAAAACCCCAAAAAAACCCAAACAAACAAAAACCACACACACACAAAAACAAAAACAAAAAAACCATGGGTGTTGGAGATTTAAACTCAGGTCTTCATATTGTCATAGCAAGTTCTCTTCCCCACTGAGCACTTCCACCAGCCCCGAAGTTTACATCTATTTTACTCTTAAATATATGTGCATGTGTATGTCTGAGTACAGTGCCCTTGGAATCCAGAAGAGGGTCAAACTCCTTGGGGCTGAGCTTATAGACAGTTGGGAGCTGCCTGATGTTGGTCCTGGGAGCTGGCAACCAAACCCAGTTCTTCTACGAGTGCTCTCAACTACTGAACTGTCTTTCCAGGCTTTCTTGTTTGTTGTCTTTTTTTTTTTTAATTTCTTTCAGCCAATATCTCATTTAGCCAACACTAATCCCAAACCTCAGCACTAACCTTCTGTAGCTGAGGATGACTTTGAATCTCTGATCCTCCTGCCTCCATCTCCTTACTGCTGGTATCGCAGGGGTGTGCCACTCAGCTTCTTGTGTGGAATCTTTGATACAGTTCTGGATTCCAGCCATGGCTCTGCCATTCAGAGGGTATTTGGTTGAGATCATGGTACCTGTCTCTTGTAACCTGGTGCTCGTAAGACCTCATGACAAAGTTGTTGGCTATCCAGCAGGATAAATGGCTGTCATGAGCTGTTCGGCAAATGCAGGTGTGCAGCGTGGATTAGCAAACAGTGGCATGCAAATATGATGATGCTCCTTGTGTATATTTAAGTCATCTCTGGGTAACTTAGAATATGGATATGGCGACACATAGTCCCAGAACTTGGAAGGTTGAATCAGGAGGATCGTGAGACTACTTTGGGCTACATTACCTGTGAAGAAATGGAAGGACCAAATGAAAAATGGGGAGGGAGAAGAGGAGAAGTGGGTAGAGAGAGAGGCCTGTTAGAAAGTATGATGGCCTGAGTTCAATCCCCAGAACTCACATGACAGAAGGAGAGAGTCAACTCCTGAAAATTTTCTCTGACTTCCACAGATAGTGTTTGCTAGGAGAGGCTTGGGCAAGCTAGGAAATGCACTGTCCTGATATATCTGACTCTCTCTCTCTCTCTCTCTCTCTCTCTCTCTCTCTCTCTCTCTCTCTCCACTAATCACTTAGTGAAATATCTGCTGGTCTATGAATTTGTCCAATGCCTCTCCTCCTTTTCTTTTTATAATCATTTATTTATTAGTTTTGTGAGTGCATGAAGGCATGTGAGCACGCATGTGCTGCATCATGAATGTGGAGGCCAGAGTGCAAATTGTGGGAGTTGATTCTCTGCTACTATGTGGGTTCTAGGAATTTAACTCAGGCTGTCAGGATGGGCAGGAGACACCTTTATGTACTGATCCATTTTTTCCGTACTCCTCATTCATTTCTTGTAGTAAAACATAATTTTCAAGTGATGCTTGGACGGACTCCCTTTGACTTTCCTTCCCCTGAACTCCCCTCTTGAATCTTTTATAGTACATTGCATCCTTCACTCTGCCTGGCCTATTTATACTCAGTTTAATTTAGGAGAGGAGTGGATGGAAAGCCAGGCACAGTGGTGTCTACTTGTAACTCCAGCCCTTGGGAGACTGAGGTGGAAGGACCTCAAGTCTGAGATCAGCCTGGGCTGCACAGGGAGTCTCTGAGTGAATGGGGTGGAAGGGAAAAACTGAGGATATGGCTCAGCAGGAAAAGACGCTTGCTGCAAAGACTGAGGACCTGAGTTCAATACCTGTGACCCACATGTTCCAAGGAGAGAAATGACCCCAGCAAGTTGTCCTCTGATTCTCACATGTGTGGCATGAATGCATGAATGCACATACACACTAAATAAATAAATGTGTGCACATAATAAATAAATGTAAAAAGCAGATTGGGGGAGAGGAAGAAAGAAAAGAAAAGGACAAATGGGAAATAGGTAGATATGACTTTGTAGGAAGTGGGGTAAAGTGGGCTCAGCATCCTCCACTGCCCCTGCAGGATGAAGAGGGAAAGGAATTGTCTGATGAGGATATCCGAGCTGAGGCAGATACATTCATGTTTGAAGGTAAGGATGCCGAGTGACACTGGGAAGAAGTACTACTGTTTTCCTGGTGTGGGGAACACCCCAGGAGCACTGTAATCTGCCTGGCAGTAACAGTTTTGCAACACCCAACTACCCGTAGGTCACGACACAACATCTAGTGGGCTGTCGTGGGCGCTGTTCAACCTGGCGAAGTACCCAGAGTACCAGGAGAAGTGTCGGGAAGAGATCCAAGAAGTCATGAAAGGCCGGGAGCTGGAAGAGCTGGACTGGTCAGTTGGAAGGGTCAGGAGGATTGAAGGGAGAAGGCCAGAGTCTTGAGTGTGGGTCTCTGCTCTACCTCTTCCTGATTGTGTGGCCTTAGACAAGTCCCTCAAACTTTCAGAATTCCAGTTCATGAGGTGGGATTGATTGTGATGTCTACCCCTACTCCAGCAGTTCTCAGAACCCCTTCATCAGCAACTGCTGTGGTCCCACCACATAGCAAACACCCCTCAAATTCAGTGGCTCGTGGCAAGCATTTAGCTATTGCTTTACCCACACATGTCTTTTTGTGGCTACTGGGCTTAGGTGTGTGGAGTGGGGCTGCTTCCGATTTGTTGGCTGGGTTCAGGTGTCTCCTAACTCTCCCGTGAGCCGGGATTACTCTGGGATATGTTCTCAGTGCAGATTCCAGAAACAAACAAAACCCAAACCAAACCAAACCAAAGGGGCTGGGGGAGAACCATTCTGTGTGCACTAAAACATTGTGAAGGAGGCAAGTCCCACAGTGAAGCATAACAGGAGGAGGCAGGAGGGGCCCAGCAGCCTGGGAATAATGTCTGTGGGCACATCACCTTCCAGGATGGAATGACATGCAGGGTGATTATGTTGCAAAGAGGAAATGCAGAGCAGAGAACAGGAAGGCACTGAGTGATGCAGGGAGCAGAGCCCCATAGCCAGGCATGGTGGCACATCTGCCATTTCAGCCTTTGGAAGACAGAAGCAGGGAAAGTTCAAGGTCAGCCTTGTCTGACCTCGTTTGAGGCCAGCCTGGGCTGTATGAGTCACTGTTTCCATCTGGGAGATGCCTCATTTGGCAAAAGGTTGCCTTGTGAACAGGAAAGAAAATCCATGCTTTAAAAAGGAGGAGGAGGATTAGAAGAAGAAGAAGAAGAAGAAGAAGAAGAAGAAGAAGAAGAAGAAGAAGAAGAAGAAGAAGAAGAAGAAGAAGAAGAAGAAGAAGAAGAAGAAGAAGAAGAAGAAGAAGAAGAAGAAGAAGAAGAAGAAGAAGAAGAAGAAGAAGAAGAAGAAGAAGAAGAAGAAGAAGAAGAAGAAGAAGAAGAAGAAGAAGCTGATGTCTTAGTCACTGTTCTATTGCTATGAAGAGACACCATGACTATGGTACAAAAGAAAATGTTTAGTTGGGGATGACCTACAGTTTCAGAGGTGTAGTCCAGTTTCATCATGGTAGGAAGCATAGGAGCATGCAGGCAGACACAGTGCTGTAGAGGTAGCTGAGAGGTCTACACCTGGATCTACAGCCATCAGGAAGAGAGAGACACTGGACCCTTGAGACCTCAAAGCCCACCCTCACTGACATACTGCCACCAACAAGGCTATACCTCCTAATCCTTTCAAGTAGTGCCAGTCCCTAATGATGAAACATTCAAATATAAGATCCTATGGGGTCATTCTTACTCAAACCACCACAGTTGGATATGGTGATAAATTCTTATAATGCCAATTTTGGGGAGACAGAGACAGGCAGATTCCTGGGTCCAATGGCCAGCCAGTCTATGCTATTTGGGGAGTTCTAGGCCCATGAGAGACCCTGACATCCCCCCACCAGCACCAAAAGAAAGAAAAATAATTGGTGGGTGATGGTGCATGAGGAATGACACTGGGGGGGTCCTTGGGTCTCCACACATATGCACACATATGTGGACAAATACCCAAATGCATACATGCACCCCACCACACATCAACAAATACGCGTGTGCACGCGTGCACGCGCACACACACACGCGCGCACACACACACACACTCCCACTTTGTGGGAACATACACCTGTAATCAGCACTGGGGAGGCTGAGGCAGGATGCCTGAAAGTTTAAGGCCAGTCTGGGTACATAATCAGTTTCATGCTGGTCTGTACTAGGGAGAGGTGAGAAAATCACTTCCTCTGAACTCCAACCCCACAATTAAATAGCACAGTGAGAAGTTCCTTTCTTATCTCTCTCTGCCTTCTGTGTGTGCCCTCTGGGAGAATCTCAGTTGAGTGCTATAGGACCCTAAACATCTTTCTAACAAAGGGAAATGTTGGAGGGTCTGGCTAGGGAGTCCAGCAGGAGATGGTACTAGCTACAATCTAATTATGCTTCTGTTTTCTTGATCATGTTTTTTATCTATGGGTATCTTTATGACAAGGATGTTCTTTGGCACTTTATGACAGCAACACAAAGCTTCTCTGGGGGCTGGAGAGATGGCACAATGGTTAAGAATGCTTGTTGTTCTTCCAGGGGTCCTGAATTCCAACCCTAGCACCCACTCTGGGCTGCTCACCATAACTTTTAACTCCAGGTCCTGGCGATCTGGTGACCCCTTCTGGTCTCCATGGACACCTGCATACATGGGACAAACAACAGCCAAAACCAACCTGTTAGAGTTAGGTGTGGTGGTGCACAATTCTAATCCCAGTATCCTGGAGGCTGGGGCAGGAGGGTTGCAGAGAGATCGGGACTAGCCTAGGCTACATAGTAAAACCCTGTCTCAGAACAACACACTCTCTTTCTCTCTCTTTCTCTCTCTCTCTCATACTCACACACACAAGCAAGAGTCTTGATGTTTAAAAAAAAAAAAATGAACTAACAGTTATAACTGGTCCATAGTGGGTTTCTGAGTAAATCAACTGTTCTGAAATCAGCAATGGACAAAGAAAAAATGCAACATATGAGATCTGGAAAGCTTGCATACAAGCAAGTAACTTGCTGCAGCTCTGAGACTCCCAGCTGCCCTGGTACCGCCCATGATTGCACAACAATTCATCAGTGACAGGTTAGTGTTAGCTCAGCAGCCAGTTCTATTGCTTGCTGCTTTCATTTGTCACTGTTGCGACTGGCTGATGAGTTTTGTCCAAACCTCAGACCACACTTATACCAACCAATTGGACTGCATTGAGCTACGCTGTGCTACATTCCCAGGCATCTTTCTCTTTTTTGCTTCTATTGCATTATTTATTTAATTCTCGTGTGTGTGTGTGTGTGTGCGTGTGTGTGCGTGTGTGTGTGTGTGTGTGTGTGTGTGTACGCATGTATGCCCTACTGCATGCTTGTGGAGGTTAGAGGACAAACTTCAGGGATTGGTTCTCTCTCTCTCCAGGGATCAAACCCAGATTGAGCTGCCTCACTGCCTTCTTGTGTGTGTGTGTGTGTGTGTGTGTGTGTGTGTGTGTGTGTGTGTATGTGTTTGGACGGGGCCTCATTAAGTTGCTTAGGTTGACTTTGAATTCACTCTCTAGCTCAGCCTCCCATGTTAGTTACTTGGGTGGTAGTCAGATATTTTGCATCCTAAGACTTTGTTAATGGGGCTTGAGGTCACAGCCTGTGCCTGCAAGAAACCAGGTTCAGTAGCCCATTCTCCATTACTCAATTAAAACAGCCCAATTACTAATGGAAAACAGGAAATGGAGATCTATTCAATGTAACCACATTGGGAAGGGCAAAGGCAGATGACAAAGAGTAGCAGTGACACTTTCCCAAGTCTGTTTTTGGGGTCTAGGAATGAGGTTAAGATTTAAGTAGAGGTCAGAGTTATGTATGTGTAGCAGCCTTGTCAAGGTGTGGCCCAACCACGATTGGCTCATCATCATATGCTCTGTAAAGTAAGTCTCTTTCTGGGAGAGAGTTTCCCTTCTAGGTGGCTTCACCTTTATGTTTCCCCCTTTCCTGGCATTAGATGCCTGGGGGGAATTCAGTTTCCTGGACTCCATTGCTTTTGAAGTCTGATCATCAGAATGAGGGGATGCAGTGTCTCTTTAGACACTTTTCATTCCTTCCTGGCCAGTCACATTTCTGACACCAGCCTGGGACATCTGCAAATTGCAGAAGCTGTGGGACCATTCTTGATCTCCCAACTGGTCCTACAAAACCATTCCCATGTGTGCATGCGTGTGTGCATGAGTTACCATTCCTTTCTCTTCAGGGACGACCTGACTCAGCTGCCCTTCACCACCATGTGTATCAAGGAGAGTCTCCGACAGTTCCCACCGGTAACACTCATCTCTCGACGGTGCACTGAGGACATCAAGCTGCCAGATGGGCGCATCATCCCCAAAGGTGCTTGCTTGTCCCCTCCACTGCTGTGGTGTGGTTTATAGGGGTGCAACTGTGCCTGCTGTGGGTGTTGGGTGCCTATGATGGAAAAGATCCCGTCTGTTGCTAGTGATGAGAGTGACTAGTTTCATGTCCTGCCGATATGACAATGTAACCCAGCAAAAGCAATTTCAGGGGTAAAGTATTTATTTGGTTCATGACTCCCAATCTATTTTGTAGATGCGTCAGGGTGGCAGGGACTCGAATCTGTCATATTGCAGCCACAGACAGACAAGAGCAGTGTGCAGTGAATGGCTCAATGCACGCCAGTGTTCTATTCTCTCCTTCTTATTTTATCCAGCCCATGGAATGGTGTCACTCACATTCAATGTGTCTTCCCACTTTAAGTAATCTGATTAAGCAAATCTTTTATGGCTGGAAGGTGGTGGCGTACACCTTTAATCCCAGCACTTGGGAGGCAGAGGCAGGTGGATTTCTGTGACTTTGAGGCCAGCCTGGTCTACAGAGTGAGTTCCAGGACATCCACAGATTTAAGTCATGTGCACACACACACACAAACACACACACACACAAAGATAAAATTTAAAAAAGAAAATCTCTTATTGGTATGCATACAGTAAGTAATTAGGCAATCCATCATTGAGACTCCATTTGCAGGTGATTCTAGACTGTATCAAGTTGATATAACTAATCGTCACTGAGGGCTGGACCTGGATGGATACTGATGGCAGTCAGTATCTTTAAAACAAATTGTTATTCCTATCATCATTATCATTATTACTACTACTATCCCCTTATTAGTATTATTATTACTACCTCTCCCGTGTGTGTGTGTGTGTGTGTGTGTGTGTGTGTGTGTGTGCACGTGTTCATACATGCACATATGGAGGTCAGAGGACAGTGTGGTGTTCAGCAGTCAATTGTCTTCTTCCAACATGAATTCCAAGATTTGAACCCAGGTCCTCAGGATTGCTCTTTTAAATTATGACCCAGAAGGTTAGTTTCATTCAGTTACCTGAGAGCACCTCTCTCCTAAGAGCCAAACTTTCTCTGGGGTGATGCTGGGGGCTCAGGCTATAGTACCACCCAGTCTCTGGGGAAATGCAGTAGGCCCCACACATTCCTGTCTATGTGGCATCAAGGATGGGCAACATGAAGAGACAGGCTTGAGAAGCCCAGGATGGAGGGAAGACCTCATCCAGGGAGGAAATGTGCATGGCTATTCTCCAAAATGTAAGAGCAAGTGGGTTTATGGAGAATAACATCAGTGTGCAGATGGTGAATGGCCTTGAATGCTGTGTGCAGGCACCTGACTCCATTCAGAAGGCAGAAGGGAGCCAAGGGAGGTAGCTACATGTAGATGGAGCAATAATATGCCTGTGACCAGAAATGCCATACTGTATGGACAGTCAGTCAGGTGATGGGGGCCTGCTAGAGAGAGACAGAGAGAGCAGCCATGGCAGCAGCAGATGTTTTTAGAGGAGGAAAAGGAAGCGGTGGCAGCTGGTTCATAGGGGGCTGGCTGCAGTCCCTGGCTGATTTCAGGGAGAATTAGGTGGTGTGTGTGTGTGTTTCCAGAGACCCCCTTGGGCCCCACTGATTCCAAATATCCCTACAGGTATTGTCTGCTTGCTCAGCATCTATGGGACACACTACAATCCTTTAGTGTGGCCTGACTCTAAGGTAAGATCCTGCTTTTGTCCTTCTGTGGCCATGGCTCCTTCCCTGGGCTGCGTGTAGGGACTGGCCCTCCTACTACTACTGTTTCACCCAGTCCTTGTTAACTCACATAGTCACTGAGCATCTGCTGGGTGCCGTGCTCTGTGCTCAGCACTGATAACCTACTGTGACACTGCCTTTGCCCTCATGAACTTTAAAGTCAAACTCAGGGCAACAAACCAATAGATAAGATCATTTTGGGAATTGCTAAATGCTCCAAGGAAGTAAAAACAGATGGGGTGGGGGGCATTTAGTTCAGGGAATCAGGAGAGGCCTTGAAGACAAGATAACGTTTGAGCTGAGACCTAATGAGTATGAAGAACAGTAGAGACCTGTTCCAGGCTCAGGAAGCATCAAGTGCAAAGGCCTTGGGGTAGAACAGAGCTTGGGTGCTTGACAACAGGAGACAGGCATGGCTAAGCTGTAGTGTGTGGTAGAGTGGAACAGATGGTCCCGAGGGTGTTCCAGCTGCAGGGGCCACCAGAGGTTGAGGTGCAGGTCAAGCTGTATGGTTGGACCAGTCACCAGACTCACTCAGGCAATTCTGATCTAGGTGTACAATCCTTACCGCTTTGACCCGGATACCCCACAGCAGCGCTCCCCGCTGGCCTATGTCCCTTTCTCAGCAGGTCCCAGGTAAGGCCCCTATCACAAATGGGAGGAACAGGGTCAGTATCAGATCAGGGGTGTGCACCATGGAAACAGAGACCAAGTCTCACCCACAGGTAATTCCTGGCAACCCATGTCCCCCTTGTACCCTTGATTGAATCATGAGTTCGGAATCAGATCGCAATTCCATTCTTGAGAACAGGGTACCCCTCCTGTATGTTAGACCCCCGGGTTCTGGGCTCACACACTTTCAACTGGTCTGCGATGCGGTCTTCATTCCAGTTCTACAGAGGCAGAAACTAAAGCTAAGACAAAGGCGGCCATCCGTCAGGATGCACTCATAGTAGCAGGCTGTGCTAGCATTTGAACGCTTGACTCCAGGGTTGCACGCCCTAAGGATCTTTGCCTCTGGTTTGAACCCTTCCTGCAGGAACTGCATTGGACAGAGCTTCGCCATGGCAGAGATGCGAGTGGTCGTGGCGCTGACACTGCTGCGTTTCCGCCTGAGCGTGGACCGAACGCGCAAGGTGCGGAGGAAGCCAGAGCTCATTCTGCGTACGGAGAACGGCATTTGGCTCAACGTGGAGCCTCTGTCCCCACGGGCCTGAACGCTCCTTGGGCCTCGCGCAACCCCCGGGGTTCAGGCTCCGCCCTCTCAGGCCTAGACCACGCCTCCAAGATCTTGAGGGTGTAGACCATGCTCCTCGAAAGTACTGGAGGATAAAGCTTTGTGGAGGATTGTTGGTGCCGACAGGGCAAGGCCGGGCCTCTTGGGATCTGATTTCATCCCTTGAGGTCAAAGTCCCGCCTTAATTTACCCTCACCCCGCTTCAGTGTGCGGGAGTCAGGCTAGTTCCCGCCCCTTTGGGCTTAGGCCACGCCCCCAAGGCAAGGCAGACCACCCTGGCCCTGAGGATTCAAGTTCCCAGGCTGGCCCACAGAACCTTCCCTGGATCTCAGACTCAACGTTGGGACTATATCCTCGCCTTCCCTCTTGCTACGCCCAGGTTAGCTTCTAAACTGAAGCTTTAGAAGCCGGAACCTGAGGTTGCAGCCCGGAACCCTCAACATCACCTTTCCGAGACTCGCACCTACACGGAAAAACTGCACAAGCTGAATCTCAGGGCTTGGCTATTTGCTTTGCTGTTTTGTAAACCCGGACCCTTGCAGGTCCCTTCCTCCTTGGTGACTGTTCCTTTGCTGAGTTTTCTCATTTTTTAAGTGTAAAAGCAAGAGGATGCAGACACTTTGCACTTCACCCCATCTCAGATCCGGAGTCCAAGATGGGGAGGAACGGCTCTTGGCAGTTGGGAAATGACTGGGAGGGGGCTGTTGTTCTTGAACTAAACTCAGATTTGGGGGGACAGTGTGCACTGTTTATTTGGTCAATAGATTGCATATTAATTCAATGTCTACTGTCACGGGGTGAGGAGCACAAACCGACCTAGTTCCTACCCTAGTCAGGGAGAAGCAGATGTTTAACAAACAGTTATACATGTTAATGATTTCTTGAAACATATGGCAAAGCCTTCAAACATGAGACTCCTGGTTCTGAGTGACTATGACAGAGGTATGAGGGGTGGAGGGTCAGGGTAACTTAGATGGAAGAGTGGAGTGTCGGGAGTGGTCTTTGCGGGGCTGCAATCGGAGCCAGCTGAGCGGCCCTGGGTCCGTACCTGAGTGGGGGAGTGTGGATGAGGGAAAGGCTAGCTATAGACAATAAAGAAAGAGACATAGAATAAAGGTCAGGAGGGCAGATCAGTCAATACTGAAATACCACGAATTTATTTTTCACCACTCTTACATACCATAACCACAAAGGGGAACACAGTATCATGTGTATGGAACAAACAGACTTTTCTTCCTCACTTATTCTAAGGGTTCAGTAACCACACCTTAGATTCAACTTCTTGTTCCCTAGCCTTGAGGTCAGGAGTAGCCACACCTCAGATTCAACTTCTCCTTCCTTAGCCTTGACAGTCAGGAGTAGCCAACACCTCAGATTCAGGTCTGTTGTTATTTAGAATATGACAGCCAAAACATCCTTCTGTAGCCACACCTTTGACCTTTAGGTCTTGTGACTTGCTGACAGCTTTGAACTCTGTCCTTGTGCCTAGACGGAGTGCAGCCATCTTTATGGGCACCCAAAGTGGAGGCTGAGTGGATGATCCAGAGAAAAGAGTGCCATAGGCAGAGGAACAGTGTCAGCAATGCCTGGGTTGGGGAAGAGCATGAGGAACTTTAGAAACAGTAGGTAGAGGTGTTTGCATCTGGGTAGTGGGAGCAGAATGGAGGAAGGGAAGTAGACTGGGGCAAACAGCAACAGGGTGTCATGAGAGGTGTGAGCAAGGGCAGGGAAGGAGATGGGTAGGTCAGGCTTAGCATGAAGGGGCTTGTGGGGGCATAATGTGGGTCAGGGTCCTGGGAAACATGGAAATTAGGCCCAGGGAGGATGGCTCTGGATCTGGGTGGTTAGCTAGTGAAAGACCTGCAGAGAGCGGACCTTCACGCTCCCACTTAGTTAAGGCGTCTCCCCCCCCCCCCCCAAATCACTCACGAGAAGCGGTCTTGATGTAAAAGCATGAGGTCTTTTATATTCCAAGTGCACTGGGGTCCACAGTGATGCACCACGCAAGGGCAGAGGACTAAGGACCACGAGGGCAGAATTGAGACAGCTTTTATAGGATTACAACAAAGCCCGCACATTTTAAACCAATCATCTCATAGCATCCAGAGACCTCGCGGTGCGGACCAATCAATTTAAACCATCCAAGCCCAAGCTTTATCGACCAATCAGTTTCCTATAGCCCGGGAGGTCTGCATTCCCATGGGTTCCTGGGTGGGGTGACAAAGCTCATTTCCTGTATTCACATACTCATAGGCCCTGTGGTAAACAGCAAAGAATGTGACCTTTCGCTTATTTACTGGCTAAGGACAGGGTCTGGAATTTAAGGTTTAAACTTCTAGCTTCCTGGGGTCATTGGAGAGTTAGGCTGTATTTTTCCATCCTTATACTAGCAGTGGAGGCTAAAAGGAGGAAGTAAGGGAGGCATGTGGGTCTCAGGGAGCTAGCCTGTGAAGTAAATTAAAGCTGGGGCAATGATGATATTGACACTATCAGTTCATCCAATATTAATAGGTATCTTCTGGGAGCCTTTGTATATGTGACATCTAGAGGGTGAGGTGATAAATGACAATAGATATGTAAAGAAATCAGAAATTCTTTAAGATGTTAACTTCTCTTGTGAGGAAAAGCCATAGAGGGGCCTAAACAGAGGTGGGACACAATTTGTCAGCTGCTGTGTTGAATGGAGACTTCGCGAGGCAAAGGGTGTCAGGTGGGGGTGACTGTATTGGTCTTGATGATGGCTGAATCAAGATGGTGCTATAGAGGTGACTAGGTGACAGGGTCCCAGGGAGGAGTGTCCTGTGAAGGAAGCTTTTCCTATGTGGGGTTCAGTAGAGGGGGAGGGCTCCAGGTTTGGGCTCAACCTCCTGGCAAAGTGGACCTGCCACAGGCTGACATGGGGTGCGACCAGGATGTCAGTTTTTTGAGATGTGAAACAGCCTCTTAGAATGATGGTGTGCCGTGGGACCCAGATCTAGGGCCTGGTGCATGCTAGGCAAACACTCTAGCACTGAGTTACACCCCTGTCAAATAGGTCTTGAGCTCGAATGTGGATTCCAGGCTGGGACATACATTTTGGCAGGTGGATCTCTGTGAGCTTGAGGCCAGCTTGAGGGAGCTTCAAGACAGCCAGGACTACATAGACAGATTGTCTCAAAAAAAAAAAAAAAAAAAAAAAAAAAAGGTAAAGAAGGGACTAAGGGGGTTGGGGTGGGGAAGTAGCTCATTTGGTAGAACACTACACTTGACCTAATGTATGTTTGAGCTCTTGAGTGTGATCCTTGTATTACAAGAAACAACTTCGACACCCCCTCCCCCCCATCAAAGAGTGTGTCCTTACGTTTGTGTGTGCATGAGCACACTGGAATACACACACACCCAGGTTCACAAACAAGGGTTCTTGAAGCTCTCCACAGTTAAATGCAATAATGAGATTCTGGTGAGACCCAATGCTTCCTGTGTGTCCTTCCAAGGCTTGGTAGAGGTAGACAAGCACATCCTTGGTCTTTGTTTTCTTGAGACTGTATCTCCACCTGGGCCAAACCGGCCTTAACTCCAGATGGAATGACTCTTGTCACTTGGCTCAGAGTCTTCCCACAGGCTCTTATTTAATCCATGCACTGCTCCACAGTTTAGATGACTTCTGATTATCACATTTAACAGACACTGAAACTAAGGGCCCAGAGGGAAGCAACTCACTCAATACCCTTATCTTGGGGTCTCAGGTCATATCCTTTCTGGCAGCACCTTCAGGATTCCTGCCTGGTGGGATTCATAAGTCTCTATGTAGCTCCAGGAGTCAGCAGGTGTCTGGAATAGCTGCTAAATCGAATTTGAATACTGTGACCATAGCAGCGCCTCTGCGTGTCCTGGGGCGACCCCTAGTGGCCCACCGTGGGATCGTCGGCCTGTGTTCACTGCTCGCGGTACTCTGCGGGCTGAGTTCTGCCCGAGCAGCATGACTCTTGGAGGCACTGTTGCTCTCACCTCGTCCCCACGATGCAGGGGCTCCAAACGCGTGTCATTCTCCAAGACCTTCCCATTTCTCTCATATGCAACCCTGTCGTCCTCCAGCAACAGGACAAAACAACCGCAAAACTTCGTTTTGGGATCCAATGTGAGATCTAACTTTGGTAGGGCACCTTAGAGGTGGCTGTGGGCACCAGATTACTCCTGTTTGTGGCGCAATTTTCTCTGGTACCTCGAGTCTTACAAGCTAATCAAGCTCGAAATTCATAAATCTTGTGAGGGTGAATACATGAGAGGAGGAAGGGAGGAACGGCGCCAGAGTTCACGGGGCTGCTGCATCTTTATGACCCGCCCCCCCCCCCACCTTCATTCTTGAGACGGGGTCTCGTGGAGCCCAGCTTGGCCCGGAACTACCTATATAGCCACTAACGGTGACTCTGAACTTCTGGATTTCTTACCTCCACTCTCATGGTGTACACCACCAGGCTTTTGTGTACATAGTCTGTGTGATAGATTTTTAATTAATTAATTTTACATCCCGACTGCACTTTGATCCTTTTAAGACAAGGAGGCTGGGGAGAAGGTACCATAGTCTTCTGTTACGTGTGTAAGAGGCTCCCTCTGCTGGTCAGAGACACCAGTCTATGAAGTTCTTCCTCCCATGTTCATGTGTGAACAAATGCCAATTTGCTTGTGTGTTCCTGCGATCCTGAAAATGTCTGGGCAACTGCATGCACACTTCTCATGAACATTCGTGTATGTATTCATCTCTCTCTCTCTCTCTCTCTCTCTCTCTCTCTCTCTCTCCCTCCCCCCTCTCTCTGTGTGTGTGTGTGATTATGTGTGCATGTGTTGGTGGCAAAAGCAGGAGAAACACCACTGCACTTGCAACTGTCCACACCAGCTGTGCTCATGGGCAGTGTCCCAGCTCTCTGCCCTAGCCTCCACACTTATAGCACACTTATAGCTCCACACTTACAGCGCAGGCTCCACACTCCAGAGCGACACTGTCCTGGAAAGCAGCCCCAGGTCTTCACTCCAGCAGGGATGACTCTGAGGTTGGTGTTCCTTGCTCTC